AGCCAATTGCACTGTGTATAAACTCTAATTTGAATTACACTTCTGCCACTGTGAAACTGATTAAAGTCACATTTAACTTGAGGGGAGATGTGTGCTGTGATTTTACACACAAACTGTATTCACTAGTAGGAATTCCTTAGATGCCTTCCTATGTTCCCCAAATTCCATGCAATAAAAAGTTTGTGCATTAATTTTAGATCATTGTTGCACTGGCTGCAAATCATACCTTAATATATCATTGTTTGAATTATTCACTTCCTATTGTCCTAGTCTTAAAATAGATTACTTTCCTACAGCTCAAATTACATTCACCAGACACATTTGTACAGCTTTCAAACGTCAATAAATAGGGAATGAGAAGGAAAGTTTGCACATTCCAATATTCAGTGAAAAGATGGAGTATTTTTCAGAAGTGCAGCATTACAAACTACTTTTACCATGGAAAAATACGTCCCACATTAATCTTAATGTGATGATGCCCAAAGAGTCAGACGATTTTTGATAATTTCTTAGATCAACATCTGTCAACCAAATGAACTCCAAAAAGTCAAAGTCCTACTGCAAGTCATTTCCCAAATGTACACAGAAAATGTTATCAGGAGTTAAAATACTGAGTCCTCTCTTATCAGAACCCTTTCCAAGCCCATGTAGCATATTTTGAAGCTAGGGGCAGTTGTTACAGCACTTTCACTACAGGAAATCCTCAGAGAAAGTCAAGTACAGTGAGGTTCAGATGAACTCCAGCAGCAGTTCAGCAGGATGATGGGGTGGTACAAAGTAAGTAGAAAATAAGGAAATTGGATTATGTGCTCGGTGAACCTGCCTGCAGATATACTTCACAGCCTTCCCTGAGCTGTTTGATGAACCTTCAGCAGGCAAAGTTCAGATTCTCTTTTGTGCTGGCAATCTCCCTCAAGCCTGCAGGATCATAGTTACTCTGGATAACCACTTGATTAAATGAAACACATTGACATGGTTGTTCAAGGAGGTACCATCTCCCAGCTGCTAATCAATTAAAAGTTGGCACAATGCTTCCATTACAAATTCACAGCAAAGAAGTAACAGGGATTTTTAAAGTAATTGCTAAGTTACAGTTGTACCTTGCTGTGCATTAACCTCATTATCCTCTTAGGAGTAGTTTTAGGCACATGACACCACAAGAGAGTTCCCCTGCCTCTTTAATTTATCTCCCCACATCTCTAATCTGATGATAGCAAAATAACCTCCATCAATCAGCCATGATACAGCAATAAGCAACTGGTGTCTGGCTAATGTGATTTTTCTACATCACTAAGTCCTAAATGGGGAGAAAATTTTTCTGCCAGCCCACATGTGGAGAAAAAAGGATATGGTAGTTCAATACAGGGACTGATTCTATGCATTTTAAAACAATTTATCAATTGATGTATGTTGTACTGTCATGGAATAATCTAAATTATGTTAGTTATTCATGGTTGAACTATTCCTTATAATATTGCATCCTGTTGTTATAAACAAGATTTGGAGCCAGTAAAATTATTTTTCCCTTCAAATATTGTAGACTTGTCCCTTTTGAAACAAGTATTAGACTTGTTCAGATCTCTGTACCCAGTAAAAGAAAGCAAATGTCCAACAGCAAAGGAAAAGAAAGCAAACAAGAAATGTCTTCTTTGAAGAAGTTTGCTGAAAAAAGCAGCACAATTTATTGATTTTTGTAAAGAGGTTCTGAGAAAATATTCATGCCCTATAGCATTCCCTGATACATCAAATTGTAGTTTGATTTCTTCCCCATACTTTGTTTGGCATATTTTGCTAAATTTGACTTCAAAAAATAGAGGTTACAAGAGAGCAGAGATGGAATAGCTCTGCTTCATTGCAAAACCAAACTAAATACAGACAATTCTTTCTGGGTACGGGCAAGAGCCCTGCTCAGATTTCTGAAATTGGTTCTTTATAACATGAAAAAAACCAGAGATGGGAGTAATTATTTTTAGGTCTTTAAATGAGTTGCGTGAAGTATCTAGGAATATGCCAATATTTTTTATGATTGTCTTATTATTAAACTTGCAAAAAACCAATCCCAAACTTCTCTGCTCTCCAGGTTAATTTCTTGACAGGAATAATCCAAATCAAGACAATCAAGAGATGAGAGGAAAGTACTAAGAGAACTGGGAAACATTGGTCAAACTGCCTTTGTGTTGTGCTTCTAACAGAATCCTGTGATTTTTAAGGAATCAGAGTAAATCAAAATATCACATAAGCAACACACAGATCAGGAGAATCTAATGGACTGGGGGAAGGAAAGAAAGTACAGCAAATGATCGAGAGAAAAAAATATCTTCCCTAATGCAGATTTTTTCTTACAGAAATAATCAGTTTTCCTTTTGTTTCTTGAAAAAAATTCATACATATGATATGAATAAAGCACACCTGTTTTTGATAACTCTTTGTTGGAAGGAAATTACAGAATTTCAATAATAGAAAAGATCTGCTACCAGCATCATAATAGATCCAGAAATTTCTAAATTCACTTTAACCCAAATTTTTCAGGCCATGAAATATTCTAGTTATTCCAGTCAAAAAAGACTGTTTAGTTGCATGGTTGCATAGTCCTCCTAGGACACTTCATTACATGGATATCTTTTTTAGGAGAAAAGTGTGGGAGATTTTGGAAATTGGTGTTGTCCTTCCTGAAGCAAAACGTCTCCTCAAAGAGCTTATTCCTTTTCCTTTAGAATCCAGATGATAAACATCACTCATGTTTTCTCTTCTGGACTATTCCCTAGCATCCATTCCTTGTTATCACTGGCAGATGTCTCAAAAACTTCTATAAAAAATGGTTTCTATTAAGTCTGGGCATGCAAACACTTTAAAGCAGCATCTCTATGAACCTGCAGAATGTAGCCCTATAGAAATTATTTCTAGTGTGGTAATTTAAATGATGTACAGCATAAAGCACTGGTATTTTACAGTGGTAAAAATCCATTCAAGATGTAAGGTAAAGCCTTGTGAAGATTGATCAAACTGCCATGTAAAAACTGTGCCATTATGTGGGACTGACATTTTTATTTACACAGGGAGAAAAGTCACATTCATTCATATATTTTGCAAATGTTTCATATTGATTCATATTGATTTCAATATATTAGCCCCAGAATGAATTTTATAAACCAAATCTTTTAGCTTAATATATCAGGCTGCACTTACAATTTGTATGTGCCATGGCCCAGTGGTTTTGTTGTTTTAGAAAACTAAAAAATCTACAAAGTCGAATTCTGTTGCATATATCCTATACTAGGAAAAAAAGACAACCTTTAAAATAACCAAGAAATGAAACCACCAAATCTCATTTGGGGACTGTTTTTTTTATGCTAGTCTTACTCTGAAAATTAAAATGTTACAGGATTTTTATTTGTAGAATATCATACCCTTACTAAATGTCTCAGATGAGAAGAAACTTCTGGAGAAACATAAAAGACAAATCAATAAATACCTGTTCTCCTGGTTAGCGTGGATGGCAATCCTTTGTCATAGACTGTCCAGCTACTGACTCTACCTGATGTCAGGAGAAAAAGTGAAGCATCCTTTTCCTTCACAACACACTCTTATAGGCAATAGCTGATAGAGGATATCTGCATTAAACTTGTTTCTTGCCAGTTCCAAATGCATTAGAAGAATTATTTATAATTAACAATCAGAAGGAGGAAAATATTACAAAATTGAGAAAGCTGAAATTAAAAACTTCAGTCCTAAAAGTCAATAGACCTTGTATTCAGTCCTCAGGGAGATGTATGACAAAGATGTATAAACATTTGTGGATTAGAACAATTTGCAAGCTACTTGGACTGCTTTGTCTTTCTGTATAGAAATGTTTTTTTTTTAGACTATGGCAGAAACTGAAAAAAAAGTTTATTTCATCTGAAGTTTAATTAATGATCAAAGTAGCAGGAATAGCAATTAGCACTGTTGAGAGGGAGACAAAGCATGAGAAATACAGAGCAGTGCCTTTCTACAAAGCAATAAGAAAAGTTTTTCACAACCTCAAGTCTCTCCAATTCTCGAACTTCTAACTACAATGTCCTCTATTCCATTATTTTTCACCTGTATAAGCAGCTCTTACATGGAAGTAAGAATACAAAGCTCTTTCCTACATTTGTTTTGTTCCTACAAAAGTGAAAATCCCTTTTCCTTCTTAAAATGTTGCCATATTTTGTTTCAGAGTAAAAATATAAATTTTCATCTTTCTTGTTAAAAGGCCATAGGATTCACCCCAAACTGGGGAAAAATCCCAAATCCTCAAAACATCCTCTAATACTTCCATAAAAGATATAAATCTACACCATTTTAAATGCAAAATATTAACTGCATGGCAGCTTCTCTAGATTTCAGTTTTCAGTTAGTTTTTTTTTATTAGCTTAGTGCAAGGTTGTACTACAAGCCCATTACAAAAGTAAAATCCTTTTCCACTTCAATCTGCTTTGTTGACTGCTACAGATCATTGCAAAGAAGCCAAGGAATGCAAAGCAATTAAGTTAATTTTTCTATTTAAATTAGCTTTAGAAAACAGCTTTGGTTATAATTACCTTATTGTTTTACCTTCAGTTTTTAAGGCATAAAACACTAGGCTTTTAAAGAGGAAAAAGCCTTGTAAGCAAAAGTGCTTAAATAGCGTTTTGAATGCCATATCATGAAGTCAAGGAAATTCAAATGGAAAGCTTCAGATTTTTAAACCATGAACACCCAATACGAACACCTCAGTAGACTTTTTACTAGGAGAATGACCATCTCCAAAGATCCCCAAACTACAGGGTAGCACTGCTAAATGCAAAATATTCCACTCCACAGAGATATCTAGTAAGACAATGTCTGTCCTGAGAGAGTAATTTCTTGTTCTTGTGAGCTTAATATAACATTCATGGCATTTTGTCTCATTCCTTTTGTTCATGTCAGATGAAATAGCCATCAGAACAGATATTCATAACACAAAAATACCATAGACTAACTGAGGAAACATTACTTACACTGCCCGAGACACTGTGAGGGCCAAGCTACTTCTCTTCGAATATCTGAAATGCTGGACTGTAGTTCTGTATAGAATAATTAACATGCTAAGTAGAAAAACATTTCATCATCTCTAGAAGATAGCTAGAAATAAGTATAAACAAAGAACCCTTTTCAGCCATTGTCTTTCCAGGGTAGCTCCTTGCTTCCAGCTTTTGTTTCAATTAACTGACTGAGCTGCAAACACCAGCTAAGTGCCCTCAGGTTCATCCTGTTTATTAGAGTCCTGCCCAGCAGTTGATCCTCTGCCTGAGCTGCAGCTCACCAGGCAAAGCCTGCTTTCAGCCTTTCTACCCCAACACTGCCTCAGGGCTTCTCCCCTAACACACTTCGCACTGCTCCTGCCCCAGGGATTTACCTGAGAGCACACACAGCTATTTTCATCTATCACAACAGTGTAAAATCAGCTGTTAGAGATGCTCTTGTGGGCATATGGGTGCTATAGGAAGAGTACTGTTGCTACTATCAGTACTACAAAATTATCAAGCATTGTAACATCTTACTGATACAAACTTTGCAAAGTAAATATATGAGGTGTTACTTGGCAAAGAAATATCATTGAAATCTTAGTCTACATTCATATTGTGATACCTGACCAAACTGAAAATGGGGTAATAGAATCCAGTTAGTTCTTACCTGACAGAGGCTATGCAACTCCTGAACTTGCTGCTGCAGCAATCTGCAGGGGAATTGGAGAGGTACTACAGGCTGAAGGTAGAAAGACACAGCACTTTCAGGATGAGCCACCCTCAAGAAGGGCACATCATCAAAGATTTTATCATTAAATACTGTATCAAAATACTTCATTTGTCACAGTTCCTTTACTGTCTTTAACTAGGCCTTACAATAACACTTTAATTTCTGTATTTCTGAAAAGAGAGGTCCTATTAAGGTCTTAAAGTTAAGTAAAAAAAGTAAGACCAAATTTCCTAGCTCAAAATGAAATTGAAAACAAAACAAAACAAAAAACCTATCCAAAAACATGCATGCTGTTTTCTTTTAACAAACCCCTTGAAAAAAAATAATGTCCTGTAACCTGCTAATTTTCATATGAAATCAATATTTGAAGACAGAGCTGTGACAAGTAATGCATCAGATATTATCTATCTGTCACTGTTTAACAAGAATTATCAATTTTGCATATTTCTAATCTAAAAGGCTTCCTTCATGTACCATCAAAAGCATTTCTAACAGGAAGGTTAGATTCCACAGTCAATAATCAACAGCTCATTGTGGTTTCCCTGATCCACCTGTGAGTTGCCTGGGCATGACATGCTTGAAGCTTTATCAAACAGAAGTATCAAAGAACTAGTCTGATTTTTAATGTCAGGAGTGTCTCAGAATACAAAGTTAAAAAAATAACCCACAGCTCCCCTCCTGCTATCATTTAGCATTCAGAAGAGTACCTGAAGTTTCTACAGTAGTGAATCTTTTGCAGAAAAATTGGCTTGATCCAGTAGCTATGGAAAAGAAGAAAATAAACATGTATTGGAGATCTAAGCTGGGGCAATGAAGTAAGTTGTCCCTTTTTTACCCTGAGAGGCAATTAGATAAGAACTACATGTATCAAAGTTTTTATTGTAACCTATACTTCAATGAATATAAGCTTTAGTACATATCAGGTAAGACTATTTTAATTTCAATGCTTTACAGAGCATAAGAACACCTTTCAGTATCCTGTAAAGGAAGTAAAAGCCACACTGAGTCCCTGTGTCCCTCACCAAAAGTGGTTTGCTAGTCCTTAAAAACTGCTTGTCCCATGGGCACACTCCCTGTGCCTAACAACCCACAACAAAGAACTGTAAAACTTATCTTCTATAAATTACATTTAACTTTATAGCAAATATTACTGTCTTTTCTATCCATACTATATTATTTTTCCACCTCTTCCAGGAGATATCTAAAGCCTCACCTTTTGCAGACTTGATTTTCCAATGGAAAGCTGCCATAACCTCTGTCTGTACCTGTGGACTTGATGTGGGGAAAATAACCTGCTAGCAAAAGGCAGTAATTGCTTTTTCCACACAGCTTGTGGGGCCTTTCGATACTGGGTCAAAAAAATCTGCTCCCCTCATGTGTTTAGTTAGAAATACCAAGACAAAATGCTGTTTATACATAAAGCATTAATAAGTGAGGGGTAAGAGCGGGAGTGCTCCCTCAGGAAGGGCAAGGCGACCTCTGAGGGAAAGCAGGGGTGTCCACCTCAGCTGCCATGGCCATTCCCCACAGCGGGCAGGGGAGGAAAGCAGATTTCACCAGCCATCGGGGGTCCCTGGGGATGCAATGTGGCCAAAAGCAGTGCCAAGGGCAGCACCCAGTCAGAGACATCACAAGGACCATGACCCAGGCCCTCAGAAGCAGGATAGACCCTGTCCCCATCCAGGGACATCACAAGGACCATGAGCCAGGCCCTCAGAAACAGGATGGGCCCTGTCCCCAGCCAGGGACATCACAAGGACCATGACCCAGGCCCTCAGAAACAGGATGGGCCCTGTCCCCAGCCAGGGACATCACAAGGACCATGACCCAGGCCCTCAGAAGCAGGATAGACCCTGTCCCCAGCCAGGGACATCACAAGGACCATGACCCAGGCCCTCAGAAGAAGGGTAGGCCCTGTCCCCGTCCTTCGTTTAAATGGAGCTGTGTGTGGAAGGCCCTGGTGAGGCTACTCAGGGTCCTCAACATGCTCTGCTCCAGCCTTTGGAATTCCTTCCCGAGCCCCTATTCCCTTCCCAAGTGCTCTGTGTTTGTTCTATTGCATTGTGCCTGTGGGTACTTTGCTAGAAATGCTGCTGTACCCCTTCAGCGTGGGGGCAGACAAGTCTTTGTAGACATGAGTGGCTTTAGAATGGGGTGGTTCTTTTTCTATAAGCTGCTTTGTTGTCTATTCTTTCTTTGAATATATTTTTGCAATGTCCTTTATCATTATGAGTATCAGTATTTTCAGTACATAAGTCCATAATTCTGTGGGTATGTGAAAAGTACTTGTAAAAGAATAACTTTGAGTTTGTTTTTGCAGTGCCTTAAGTACCTTGATTGCTTCCACATGAGGTGCTAGCTTTGTTCTCCCAAAACAGGTAAGTTTCCTGATATTAAACATGCTTTGTGGCAACTGAAATACACCAGCTTTTTAGTTTTTCTGCATTTTGAACAACTTAAGGTTTATATTTGCTATTTGACCTTATTTTCAGTTAAAGTTAATTAATGTATTTTTTGAAATGAAAGGGAGGGTTTTTTTTGGTTTTGTTTGTTTCATCTTTTTTTGCCTTTGGATTTTTTTGTGGTATTGGTTTGTTTATTTGTGGGTTTTGTTTGGATTTGTTTGTGGTTTTTTGGATTCTTTCTTACAATTTAATCTCTGTAGAGGAATTTGGTCATTGGAATATATTGTTTCACTTCTGATGAGGCTACTGTTATCAGTAGGAAATTGGCAGTTGATTATAATAAAAACAGAAGAAACTTTTTCTAGTTCATAAAATAATCACAAAAATTCACCAGCAGATTATATATAATACCATATATATGGTCTTTGAAGTAAGATACCTATGTTGCTTTTGTAGCTGGAAAATCTCATTAAAGCATATGTCTAATATTTAATGAATGTATTCACCTGCTCTATTAGACAAATAGTATGTTCCTTCTTTTAAATGGTTTTGAAAACTGAATTATCAAAAATGTTGAAGAAACAATGACAAAGACTGTTGTTTTTGTGCCTCTAGGAGTAAAGTCACATGGAGCTCTCAGGTTTAATTCCTGATTAAGGTTCAGAAACAGATTGGAGCACTAAAACACTTTGAACAGGACTTAGACACAAGCACATACAAAGCTTTTTTAGGCTATATCCAAGTAAGCACATAATACAACAGTATGGTTTAACTCTGGCATTTCTGTGTTGACTGCTGGGAACTATAACCACATCTCTACCCACAGCTGTGACCACAGAGTTTGAGCTGGATTAGCAGCTAAAATACTTACCAGGTGACTCACTGGAACTGCAGCAGAGCTGCCCTACAGCTGATGCTGGATTCCTTCAGCAATATCTAGGAGTTTAGTGCTATTTGAATATTTGTGCAAATGTGCTCACGTGTGCTGTAGTTACACTTCATTTGGCTGTGCAGATACATCACTTTGGAGGGGCATGCTCCTCTCAGAGTAGGAGGGAAAGGCATATGTTCATGTTGTGGTGATCAGAGATGGAGCATTGTTACAAATCTGCCTGACATGGCTTTGTGTCTTGGTTTTGTCAAATCTGCCTTGAATCAAAGGCCTCAATAACAGAGTCCCATTGGGAAAGATATGGGGCATAGTCCAAAGCTCCCTGTCAGAAGTCCTGCAGCCTTGTACTTCAGGTGATTTATACAGGCCTAAACCTAATCTTGTTCTGAACAGACACAAAGACAGCTTGGTTCCTCTCAAACTCTTAGCTTAAGCTACATAGTGTTTGCTTTGAGCAGTTCTCTGACTAAACGTGGATTTATCAAATCCAGTGGGAAATACCAGTGCAGAAGGCATAAAATATGTCACCACTGACAAATCACTCCCAGTTTATCCACTGAGGAGTTTGTCAAAATCCCTCGGAGAAAGCCTTTCAAAATGTACTTATATTCTTGCTGGCTAGAGAAAATGTGGTGATAGCTACACTAAAAGTAATTAGTGCCTTCAGGTAAGACATTATCTAGCTGTGCCAAAATGTGCAGGTTAGCTAGTTATTCACAGCTGCAAGGAATCGCATCAACTTGAACTAAGAGGGCTGGAGGGTGGGGTGGTGGATGGAGGTCTTGGGTATAGCAGCAGTGAAATGATAGAATAATTTATGAATGGCTGAGGTGATGCTGTTAAAGCCATGGGAAATACTGGTGAAAAAGAGGTAGAATTTGCACTTTATAAAAACGGTGAATATCTTCTTCTGCCTCTTATGTTGATAATGGGAAAGCTGCATGTCCAGAATATACTGCTATCATTTTTTCTGTCCTTGATAAGGAAGAAAATTAAATGTTTCTTATACTTAAAGTTCAGGAAAAACACATTTCTTGGTGTTATATGACCTAAGCAAACACCTGAGAATGAAGCTGTAACTGTGACTAGCTCCTTTCTAAGGAGACAAAAGGTGCAGGAAAATGTGTGACTTTATTAGTGTTTATTTAATTGCTAGATTTATGACAAACTTTTAGACAATTCGAGACTTCTTGTGCTACCTAAATAATTGTTCTCACTGTCTAAATATCATAAAGGTATATGGTGCAGGAAGAGTTCTACCTGGGATAATGATTCTACAACTTAATTAGCCTTACCCAAATACAGGTAGATTATTCATCCCCAAAAATCCCCTACATACCCATCTAAAGTATTACTACCTTGTTAAAAAGTAAAATAGAGCTACAGAGTATACAATGTAACTTTTTATTGATTATTACAGTAGAATTAAAGGTTTGGTCAGGAACACAATCCCTCACATGAACAAAAAAGTCTGCCTGCTGTTAAAAATCTAAAATCTCAGAAACTATATGTGTAGTGGAATGGCTGAGTCTTTTAAGATGTGTGCAGATAAGGACCCAGTGAGCAGACTCATGCATTGATTTGCTTCATTAAGGAGTTTTAAAACTAATTGAGGATTCTCCAGCCTTACCATGTAAAAGCTTGCTGGTATATCTTGGTTATTCATCTTTGAACTAAAATTACTTAAACTTTGCTATGCTTGGATTATAAATGAGAATACTTGAAATCCTAGAATCTCCTGAGAGTTGCATTAAATAATTTCATTTGACTTCTTTTAGGTTAAATTCCTAGCCTTGTAGCTAAAGAAAAGTCAGATAATTAGAAAGAAAATGAAAAAACCCCAACGATATTTGTTTTCATGCTGACAGTTCAAATTCCAACTTGGGGATCACATTTCCTTGCTGTTACACTTTTCAAAGGAGCCAGACATAATAGTGCCCTTTGCCAATCTTTCTTAGTTTGCTCTTTCCTTGTGCAAGGTCTCGCCTCATGAATTTGTGATTGGAAAATTGGTCTCTTTCCATTATTACTGTTCTCTGGGTTGCTTCTAATGCTGCTGACCAAACACATTTTTTGAACTTCTACATTATCTACGATAATCCTTCCTTTCATAACTTGTAATACCTTATAGTTTTAGCTGTCAGTTTTATCTGTTTGTAGCTTTAAACTTCCTCATCCCAAGAAATTCTACTTATTCATTATTTATCTGTACATATAACTTTCATAAAGTAGCTGTGGAGTGCTGAAGTATCAACCTTGATAGGGACAGAGCTGGTGCTCTGAGGATGTCTGCAGGAAGAGGAAGGTTTGAGTGATTAGATGTCCTCTTTGGCTTCCTATGAAGCAGCTGTGAATTTTCAAATTTCTGTGGAGCATGCTGTAGTAGCTGCTGATTTGTGCATTAAGGACAAATATTCAAAGTAGGGAAAGAAAGGATAGTCATAGATTTTCGTGTATTTTTGTGATTTCTAAACCTTCTTTTTAACTCTATACTTTCAGACTTAGCTTTGAGTTCTACTTCTCCTATACATCTTATTTTAAAATACTGTATAGACAAAAATTATTGGCAGAATTGAGTATTCTAAGTACCATACTTCTAGATTTTGTTTATAAGTATCCTGGAGCAAACTGTGTTGCAAAAGAAATAAATTGTACAAGAAGAAAATCATAATTCTGATTGATCCTGAACCATTTGGGTGATCTGTGGTGTTTCCGTTTGTGTTTCAATTAAAGATTGAGTCATTAGTGAAGGCTGACTTGGCTGAAGAAATGCAGTCAAAAAAAGGCATGAAGGCTAAGGCAATAGTGTAAACCACTTTTTTCATGCAAACACAGGCATTACAGAGTAATACAAAGAGTAAAGCTTGCATTGGTCTCGTTCTCTCTGAATTATTTTGTATTATACTTTCATATTGCTTTCAGAGGTAATTGTTTCTGGTTTACGTACATCTGAATTTTACTTGAGAGCCAAAGTGTTGTAGCCTAGGCATGTGTATAGATATTTCTAGTACCTAGGCCTGGCTTTTGACAGGAAGGTGGCATTCAAATTAATAAAGGAAGTTTAGCTGTGAAATGTGAAAAATGAGAGTTACACAAAAATGTTTTTTTAAAGTTATAAAATATATAAATGAAAGATGTCTGTGATGGGGAGTCTTGGATCTCAAATGACCCATTTATCCCAATCTTAATGAATTATGTAAATTACAAGAGATTCAGCAATATATCTCAGTTGGTAAAACTGAGCAAGGTCAGAGCTCCTGCACTGATCTTGCTTACCCAGGGTTTGGTAGTTAAAAGGATAGTCACAACTCTGAAACAAAAGGGACTGATGGCAGACTGGATGTAATTGCACTTAACCATAGCTAAGAGTTTTATACACTATCATACAAAAGATTCATCTGTGGGGTTAATCAATACTGCACAGGGTACAATGAATAAAGTATTAATGAGAACACCAAAGACAAATGATACTTATGTGATGTGGAAACAATTTGAGAGGGATATTAAAGTTGTAATACTTCTAGTATTGCTGATGAAAACATTCATAACAATATCTTAACATACTGATTGTTTAGGGGTTTGTCATTGGAATTGTACTATCAAAAAATACTTATCTGTGGGGTAATTATTTTTTTTTTAATTAATAGTCTTGCAAATGAATATATGTTTGATAAGGATGAAGGGATTGTCATTTCTGTTTAATTTTGGTTCAGGACAGAAGACTACAGCTGTATCCTATTTCTGTTCATGGTGAACATGTTTTTTACTGCTGTAGAAGAAATCTGTAAATAATTATGAAGGAAAATATCTTGTAGTTTGGGTAAAGATTTTTTAAACCCTTTTGGTACTATTTCAATGTGAAAATCTTTTTCACATTGAAATAGTATCAAAAAGGTCTAAAAAAATTTTTTTTCCAATATATAAATTCCTTCAGTGAAGGTTAAACAGGGGAGAAAGATGGTCAGAAATGCAACTTACTGGAGTGTCAAAAGTAGTCACTATTGCTTGTTGATTGTGTTAAAATTAACAGAGGAATAATCAGTTCAGTCACAAGAAATATCTGTTTTCAGATATTCATGGT